CTACCCTGACCCTGATTTTTTTTTTTTTACCTTGTCTCTTACTACTCTCTCCTTTCATTTGTTTTTTTTTTCTCTTCCATCCATAGTTCCTGACTGTTCCTCAAACCTGCCAGGTGAGCACGGATTATTTTCTTACCTCAGTTTGTCCATTCCTGAGCACCTGACTTTGAATGTAAAGTTTAAATTGCAGTTTTCAACCCTCTACTCACCTTTGTCTGCTTTGTTTCTGCTTCTCTCCATATGACCTTGTTTATTTTTTACTTATTTGCTTGTCTCCTTCCATAAGAATGTAAACTCCATGAGGTCATTGAATTTTGTCTATTTTATTTTTTGTGAGCACCTAAAACATTAACAAGCACACAGTATTGGCACTCAGTATCTGTTGAGCGAGTGATTATTGAATCCTCCCTACCCTACCTACTACATGCTATGTGCCTTGTGCTAGTCCCCGCACAGTCAGTAGTGAGTGATCCCCACCCTCATAGACAACTAGTACTGGAGACATTGACTAATTAATACAAATATATGAAGTGTGATACAATGATATTTAGAGTTGAATATGGAATTGTAGATGAACAGTCTTTTGGCTTCCCTTTCTGTTGGTGTTAGCTGTCAATCTTTTTGTTTCCTATTTAAGAATGTGTCTTTTTTTCCTCTTTGGCTATTTCTTTAAAAAGCCAATTTCCTTGTGTTTTTCTGGAATTTTATTATGATGTCCCTGCATGTAATTTTCTTTATATGTCCAACTTAGGGTTCAGCACTATAATCTACAGCATGGAGTCTTTAATCTTAGAAATTCTGAACCGTCATCTATCACTCCAAATATTGCTGCTTCTTCATATGGTTTCTCCACCTTGCAAAGTGGAAGATTTGATTATGGAAATAGATAGCTGAGTTGGAATTATTGAGGGTATAATTGATGGTTTGTCTATGTTATGTCGAAGTCTAAAAATTGACAGGAATTAGGGAGGAGAGAAAAAATATGAACATGGAGTTAAAGGCTTCCTTGAATGAGTGTAAGAGTATGTCTGTGAGATTATGAGGTTGGAAAGTGGTGACACTGTGAGTGGTGCCTGGGACATGTATAATTAAAACACAACTGTAAGGAGCAAGGAGTTTTGCCAGAGGAAAAGAAAAGCAAAGCCCTGAGAGCAAAACTGAGAAGGAAGTAGGATATGTTCCTTTTTGGGCTCTAATAGATGAGGACTATGAGACCAAAAAAATCTACTTGAATGGGCTACTACAAAACTTGCAAGGGAAGACTAAAATAGGCAGAAATATCGCTTTTAAAAATTAATAGCTTACTGATCAATGAGAAGGAATTTCAGACAGTCTGAGAAAATCACTTTTTTCAAGGACCAACTCTGGAAACAGGGTAATAGAATAATGTCTTAAACGTCCTGACGGAAAATTATGTTTACTTTGTAAGTATATACCCAAGCAATCAGTCCAGCATGGCAGTAGAAAAATAACATTTTTATTTTTAAACTTTCAACATCTCAGAAATTTTACCTCCAGTACTTATTTTCTCAAGGAAGCTGTTAGAATACTGTTTCACCAGAAGAAGTTAATAAACCAAGGTGAATAGGACAATGCCAAATCTAAGGAAAGAAAGATCCAGTATGGGGAAGAGGTTGGAAGTTTCAGGGTGACAGTTGTGCAGCAAGTCTAGAGAGCGGCCAACCTGAATGTGTCATCCAGAGCGGATGTGCCGGCTTGAGGGCTCTGGGGAAGATGTCTCCAGAATGTGCAGTTCACAGATTTCTTGATATGGGTGAAATTGTTGAAAATACTGCTCAGAAGGATTTTGAAAAACTAATGATGGAGGCATGGAGAGCTAAACAAGCAAAATAAGAATTATTAACCCCAGGAAAAGCAGTCTGTGCAGAAAAGAATATAATTATGGTTTATTATAGGTATGTTTGATATAATGTGTTCCTGGGAAACTCACTTTCTGTGAAATTGAGACTTTAAAATGCCAGGAATAGGGCCTCCCCTGGTGGCGCGGCAGTTGAGCGCTGGGCTCAAAGGTGCCTACAGCCTCTGCAGAAGCCAGTTCAATCCCCAGCTGTTGGCAATGGTCCCATATGGCGCACAGACCTCTCCTGCTGTGCCTGCTGCTCCCCTCAGCAGTGTACTTCGTCGGTCTGCCTGTTCTGTTCCCCGCTTTGGCTCTGGTGAATTCTCTCACCCTTCTGCGCTTCTGACTGTACCCAGTGCTTGTATAAATAAATAAATAAATGTTAAAAAAAAGAAAAGAAAAAAAATGCCAGGACTAGGAATATATAGCTTAAAAGTGACGCAACATGTCAAGTAAAAGAAAATGGGAGTAGGGACAAATTAAATCATATCTCTAGGAATTTTCACTTGTGATAAGTCCATATAGAAACTCATGGGTAAAAGTTGGAGAACCTCTGCTTTTGGAGAACAGGAGCATCTGATTAGATTCAGCCACATTAAGGGGATATCAGAGTTCCATTTTCTGACCTAAGTGGTGATTATGGTATCCAACTTATATTTGTTTCTTAGGATTTATCAAATATTTTATCATTTCAAATTCATATTTAATGTATTTTCAATATACTTTAAATTATAATTTAATATTCTATTTGAAAAGGATAGTGGTTATTATTGCAGGGGAGGAGGAGTAATTGTAAAGGGAGCTTAAGAGTTCTTCTGAGAAAAAGAAATACCAGATGGTCTCACTTATATGTGGAATAGAGAGAGACCAAACAAAAGGTCCAGAAAAAGTCAAAACTAGCAAGCTGACCATAGAACTGAGGCATACAGCAAAGGAGAGGGAGGAGTCGGGGCAAAACAGGGGGGGGGATGAACACAAGGGAATATGGTGATGGTTCACGGGTGATACAGTGGTGTGGAAACTATGGGAACTACAACAATGTAAGGAAAAAAAATTAATAGAATAAATGAGACTAGGAGGAAAAAAGGGAGTTCTGAGGTTTTGGTAATGTTCTTTTTCTTGAACTAGGTGCTAGTACACAAATATATTCTGCTCATGGAAATTCATTTTGCTTTGTATACTTTTGTGCACTTGTCTTGATACTTCAGTAAAAAGTATTTTAAGAAATGCCAGGGCTTGAGATAAAGGGTGGGGTGGACCATTCAAAACCTCCATAATTTTGTAACCAACTGTTGGAAAAAAAATAATAATCCCAATAAAGATGTGGGGGGGGGTACCCCTCATCTCCTTTGATTTGCCTTGACGTTGGGTTTTACTTGAAATTTACTACCAAGTGGGCTTGTCCCTGTAGAGAAATGGGTGAACAATTGTAAGGGAAGGATGAAAAAGATAAATACTGGATGAAATAATACATCTGTTTGACAATAGTGGGAATATGTTTAACATTCTTGAGCTGTACACTTAAAAATGGTTAAGATAATAAGTTTTATTGTGGTTTTTTTAACCATAATTAAAAAAAAAATAATTCGGGTTGCAGCTTTGTTTAGGTAGATAGATCCCAAAGAAGAAATTCAGAAGGGTCTCAGTTCCTTCTTGTAAGTGGATAAATTAAGTTGTGGCCACTGGTCTGGCCAGGAATATGTGAAGGCATGGAAGTATACAAAAGGCAAGAAGTATTGATCAGATGGAGATCTGAGCTCATATTGAGATCTCTCCTCTTAGAAATTTGAGGGATAGGGGATAATTCCTCCCAACATATTATATAGAAGTGTGCACACACACACTGTCACACCCAGTCACAATCAGGATACATTTTGAGAAATAGTTGAGGTGATTTTATTGTGCAAACATCAGAGCCTACTTGACAGCCTAGATGGTACAGCCAACTACACACCTCAGCTGTATAGAGGGGCCGCTGTCATATGTGTGGTCCATTATTGACCAGAGCATCAATATGTAGCATATGATTAAATATAATTCAAATATACATATATTAATTTGGAGAGAATTCTTAAATTATTGTTTTAAAAGAATATTGATATTATTGAAGTGTAATGTTAAAAGCAAAATAATTGCACATTTTATAGTACCAAAAATTTAAATACCAGAGCATCACCTTGGAGCACTCTTTTGCTTGAAAATGCAGTCTTAGACCCCATCACAGACCTACTGAAGTAAAATCTGCATTTTAAAAAGCACCCATGGTGATTATATATACACTTTTCAATTCTCAAAAGCTCTGGTCTATAATGACCTCCCTCTTCAATTTTCCTGTGAATCTATTAATAAGTTGGTCCTTTTCTGTTGGCAACTTATTTATTCACCAGTTTTAATTACTTTCTAAATGGAATATGAGCTCCTCAAGGGCCCACCTAGTCTGACTTACTCATTCCTGGAGACCATCACCTGCACCTAGAACAAAGTAAATTTTTGTTTGATATTTCTATCAGATTTTGTTACATTTAGTGATTTTTTTAAGAAAATAAGATTATGAAAATGTTACGTCAAATGCAAGGTTTGAACTTTAACTGAAAATAACTGATGGGACATACAATGCATCAGTTATTCCTGAGATAAGATTCGAGGAAAGATCTTCAGTTTCTGATTTGTGTTATATTTAAAAATACCTTCAGCATATATTTTCTAATGCATATCCTGTTGAAATGTGTCAGGAAGCAATGTTTCAGTCTGCATACTTTGAAGACATAGGACAGTGTATATCTATGGCTCTTAACTGGGGGTAATTTTGTCCCCGGGGATGAGGAGTGGCGATTCTATATCTAGTGGGTAAAGGCCAGGCGTAATGCTAAAGCCCTGTAATACACTGAACAACCCCCCATCACCAAGAGTTATTTAACCCAAAGTGTCAACACAATGGTGTTGCTTAGAGATCCTGGCTTAATTGAGAAAGCCCTTCCTCTGCAATACTAATGCTATCAGAGGAGTCTCTGTCCTAGATCTTTTGGAAAAGAGAATATATGGAAATTGGCAACTTAGAGATTTGGATGAGTGTTAGGGTAGCATTCTCAGATTTTACGTTTTTAAGAAAACAGGGTTACTGGTTTTCCTTATTTTACAGATGGGGTCGAGGATTTGGTCTTCTGGGTTCCATCTTTGGAAAGGATGGTGTATTAAACCAGCCAAACAGTGTCTTTGGACTTATATTTTATATACTACAGTTATTGCTTGGTAAGTATCATACAGCAATACAAAAACAAGATTGTTTCATTATATTCCATTTAGTACTTGTGTCTTTATCCTGAAGTGTGTCTTTATATTAAAGTATATATTAGAGCTAGAAACACACTCATTTGTAGTGAATTTTTGTGTTATGAAACTTGGTTCATTAAGGTTTTGATGATGCTGATGCTGAACTTGGTATCTGTGGCAGTATCACATGATGTCCAGAAAAACCAGTTCCACACAGGGAAGTTATTACTCCAAGCAGTCTCCCTTGGAAGCATAACCCTTAATTTCTTACTTTGAAGTTCAAGGTTTCAAATGTTCTATATTTTAAACAATACTATGATCAACTGTTAATATAATTGGTACTCCTTGCACAAACCCTTTCCTCTGAATTATTTCAAAATAAACAATAACTTTGGCCTCCCTGGTGGCGCAAGGGGTTAAGACGCAACCTATGAAGCTGACCACCACACCCATTACTGCACTAGTTCGATTCCCGGCCAACCAGGGAGAAACCCACAAAGCGCAGCAGACCTCTCCTGGCTCGCCGGCTGCCTCCCTCAGCAGTGTGTATCAGTAGATGTACAGTAGATCTGTTCCCCCTCTGTCTCTGTTGAATCTTCTCACCCCCCACACCTCTGTTCTGTACCCCAGTTCTTGTATGAATGAATGAATGAATGAATGAATGAATGAATGAATGAATAAATAAATAAATCTTTTTAAAAACCCAGTAATTTCAAAATAAATTTCAGACATGAAATAACAATAAATGGGAAAGCAGAAGTATTTTTTATCTATCAAATTGCTTTTCCCTCAATTGTCAGATTTTCCTGAAACTTTTACTCTTGTAAAAGTATTTTCTGTAAAATTTCTAATTTAAGTTCCATATTAGTAGCTGTTTTTTAATTTTACTACAATTAATTTCCTTTATAGCCAAATTTCGTTATTGGGATCCTGATAAGAATCCATTTCACATGTGTTACATTTTACCCATTCTTTTTTGCATTTGTTTTGTAAGTTTTGATGTATAAGAATTTTTATGAGCTAAGAATTCCATGCCTACATTTTTACCCTTGTATTTCAATTGTTAATATTTTATCTTGTTATCTACCAGCTAGCTCTGCTATTTACGTGTGAAATTGACTTGCTCATAGGCAAAGTGTGAATCTAAATTTTTCTCATTAGTCCTATCAAATGTGCCCAAATCCATCTCTGTATATACTTATCCTGTAGAATATAAATACAGTCACAAGGGTATTCATAGCAGTATAGTTTAAAATAGCAAAAAATTGGAAGCAGCTTAGCAAAATGTAATGGTTGAGTAAATTAGGTTGCATCCATACTAGAAAATACTATGTAACCATTAAAGGAAAAAGTAAGTCTATATAATTATCCTGGAAACATCAAGACATAGTTTAGTGAAAAAATTGTGATATAATGGGTATGAGTTAAGTTTATGTTGATACACACACACATACAATGTATAGAAAAAGATGCTTGGTGACTAGGGGTGAGACTTTTACTTTGTTTTCCATTTATTGGTCTTGTTTAAAGATATTTAGCATAGGTGAGGTCAGCAATTTTTTTTTTTGGTATGTGATTTTATTTTATTTTTAAAGATTTATTTATTTATTTATTATTCATTTATTTGTGCAAGCACTGGGTACAGTCAGAAGCGCGGGAGGGTGAGAGAATTTACCAGAGCCAGAGCGGGGAGCAGAGCAGGCAGAAGGACCGAAGTACACTGCTGAGGGGAGCAGCGGGCGGCAGGAGAGGTCTGCGCGCCATGCGGGTCCCACCTCCGGTGGCCGGGATAGCAGCCTGGGATCGAACTGGCGCTGCAGAGACTGAGGGCAGCTTCGCAACCCAGCGCTCAACCACTGCGCCACCTGGGAGGCCCAGCAATTTTTTTTTTAGTTAAGGACAAGACAGCAAATAACCTAGGCTTAGCGCGCTGTCACAACTACTCAACTCTGCCATTTTTGTGAGAAAGCAGCCACGGACATTACATAAATGCTTCTGTGTGGCTGATTCCTGTAAATCACTTAAGATTGGCTTAAATAATCCAACGATATCTTAATTGTTTTGAAGACTAGGCTAGGCTGCAGCTCACAGGCAGCTTCTCATTCAAGCAGAGATTTCAGCTCCTTAATTAACCTCTTCAAAGCCCCTACCACCTATTCTTATTTCTTCCTGTTTGTTACCCTTATACGTAGTTGTTAAGTAGGAGGGTAGTTTAATATGTACTCTGCTGTCCTCTCCTCCTTGAAAGTAAATGTGTGTGTTGGCTACAGGAAATTATAAACCAATACATGTGAAGATGTCAGTCAAGAATTGGGGCAGGTTTTTGTCTGGAAAGCCCCACTTAGCAGACGTACCTGCCTTCTTTCTCGATCTGGTTTGATCCACATGTAGCCAACTGGTCAAATGTTTCCCGTATCCTCCAGGGTGAGACTTTTCTGAAATGTGTATCATGGGTTTATTTCCTTCACCAGCTTGTTGGTGTTATCATCTCCCATTTTGACTTTTGATCAATTTGATCTAAACATGGGAAAACAAATTTTATATTTCACAGATAGGGAACTTATAATGAAAAGACAGGAGAGGGTCTCACCAGATGTTCTCTGCTCAATAGAGGTTTTGGTCCTCAGATTCCTTTATTCGTTAGGAAAGGTAGGGCTACCAGTTTTACAAAACAGCTCCATTGCAAAGTGATTACAAGATTGCATATTTTCTTTGCATGTCTTAACTAAAGTAATAGTTCCTAGAATTTTGACAAGTTAGAAACATTGGAGCTATAAAATTGGTATCCTCGGCCTCCCCTGGAGGCGCAGCAGTTGAGCGCTGGGCTGCAAATTTGCGCATAGCCTCAGCAGCTCGGGTTTGATCCCTGGCCACTGGGTGAGGTTCGCACATGGCACACAGACCTCTCCTGCTGTCCGCTGCTCCCCTCAGCAGTGTACTTCATCACTCTGCCTGTTCTGCTCTCCGCTCTGGCTCTGGTGAATTCTCTCACCCTCCCGCGCTTCTGACTGTACCCAGTGCTTGTATAAATAAATATATAAATCTTTAAAACAAATAAATAAATAAATAAATAAGATTGGTATCCTGTCTGCCGAGCCAATCTGCATAACCTTAACAAAAGAGACCAGTTGTTCTCATATTGCATAGTGTTTTACAGTAAGATTGGTAATTCCAGCACTGCAGCAAATCAAAATGTTACTTTCAACTCAGACACTTTCTCTCCACTGTCAAGGTCTGATTGAGCCAAGTGTCTCTTTCTGTTACAGGCATGACAGCAAGTGCAGTTGCAGCTTTAATCCTCATGACGTCCTCCATTGTGTCTGTAGTAGGCTCTTTGTACCTGGCCTACATTCTGTACTTTGTGCTGAAGGAATTTTGCATCATCTGTGTCATCACATACGTGCTGAACTTCATTCTTCTAATCATCAACTACAAACGACTAGTTTACTTGAACGAGGCCTGGAAACGGCAACTGCAGCCCAAGCAGGACTGACAACCTGACAAACTCTTAACTGACAGTCTAAGTCCCTTTTCCATTAAGTTTATTTTGCAGCAGTTTTTGTTTTTTTTTTTTTAATTCAAAACAGACACTTACCCTAAGTATCTTAAACTGATTTTTAAAATCCTGTAAATTAGAAGGGGCCCTAGCTATTTTCTCTGTCAATCTTCATTTTAAATATGGACACAAAAAAGATAAAGAGGATACACCGAGCCAATCAAAGACAAGCTTTAACTTTACTTTGAGGATATTTCTGAAATAATAAAATGTAGCCCCAGCCCCCTGCCCTCAATTGTAAAGTGAGCAACCAATGCTAGTAATTCTCTAATGTGTATAAATTAAATTTCAGGTATAACAAATGTGATCATGACATGAAAATATTTTAGAATAGATACTGTATTAAATATTGCCATGTTTACAATATGTAATATGTTTTTAGCCAATGGATTTAAATATGTAGATTCAACTAGAACCCACTTATGTGATATTTGTAAATAAAGGTAGAAATATTGGATCCATCCCTGCAGAACTTAACTGTACAGTGTAGGTGAAGTGTAGCAATGAAGAATTGTCAGCTCAACACTGACTGAAGAAATAGTGAAAATAGTAAGTCCATACAGAGCATCTTGTGCAAAGTACTGACAGCTGTGGGTCCAGCATTGACGGCAAAAATAATGGGGTGGTTGGTTCTCTTTCATCTCCTTCCTCTGAAAGGAAGAAACTAAATTTGGACATTCAAGTCAAGCTTGTGCCTAGTCATAAAACTGGATCAATTATAACCTTACAGAATGAGTCCACGTGACCAGACCTTCAAGTCCAAGGCCTTCAGAACACTAAAGATGGGAAAATGAGATTTCTTTGCAGAAAAGTTGGAAATATTAATGGCATTTTTAAGAAAAGTCTCTTACAATTTAAATTTCATGCAGATATTTTTCCATGATATTGGTGCCAGTCAACCAGACAGTATTATGACTTTGAAATAACCAGTGTAAGCCCATTTGCTCCAGAGTAGGATTTCTCTTTGGGTAGCTCTGTAGTGTTTTCCATGTTTCTTTCTGCACTAACTAATCGAATGTCTAGTTTGTTTTAGGGTGAAACATTGACTTTGTAAACTTTAGGGCTAAAATGCTGCTCAGTTTGCCTAATTGGGAGTAATACTATAGGCAGAACTATCTGAAGATGAAATTCAGCAAATGTTGTCACTACTCTTTCTAAAAACTACATAAACGCAGAATTTTTAAAGGTGATTTGAATAAACCCAAATGAAGTTGTGACAGTATGTTTCTGTGGTTAACATCTTATATCAGAATGTTAAAAGTGCCTTCTGTCTTAAATCTCAAACCAAATATTTTGTGTGTTGAACTTGGGCAGAAGTGTCCTTCCTTCCTTTCTTACCACAAGTAGAAAACTTGCATTCTGCAGAAAGGTTCTATATGATCATTTTATTCCTTAGATTGAGAAGTAGTAGCAATGTCTTGCTTACAATTCGATTAATCATTATGTTAAAAATAGACCGGTAACTTCTGAGTGTTTTATTTGCTTTCTTTTTGAAGGGAGGGGACAGGCTCTGCTCTGTAAATCATAATGTGTCCAGTCAGCAACTATTCAGCAGTTTTCAACTGTCATAATTGATGCAATGTATTCTTCTGGCACCCAGGCAGGTTTAAAGTCTGAATTGTAATGAACTTTTAACCAGTTTTGTAAAAGATAGCTTAATTCAGATTTCGTCAAGGTTTGTTTTCCCATGAATGTGAATATTTCAATGCCTGTTTTATTTTGTATGTATTGTTCTTGTTTCTATAGTTAAAGTACTTTTGGAAGCTTTGATTAGATGTCTGGTGTTTATGGAGAAACAATGAAGTCATCTTGTAGCATTGCTTCTAGTTCTACCAAGCAGTTTACTGCTTCTCTTTTCTAAGATAGAGTGGAAATGGCTTAACGGCTAAGACTTCTGTGGTATATGTAATACACCGGTTGTGCTAAACAAGTTCCTTGTGTCCTAATTTAGAACGGTTTTTTCATCTTTTATATCAGCCGCAGAGTATAGTTAAAGCTTGTCTTGATGTTGCAGTGACTTAAACTTTTACATGAGAAGATGTAAAAGACCTTCAAGTTTTTCCTTTGCTTTCCAAGCCTTGCGGAAAACACTAGTTTCAGTTGTATAAAAAAATTTTGTCACATTCCTGTGACCCCAGAATTCATAACCTTTTTCTCACTGAGCAGTGAACTTGTGCTGCCTGAAATAACAGCATCGTAATGCCACTATCTTAGTAAGCGACAGAACCCCAGTGGGTGTTATTTGGTATTTTTGCTCTGGAAGATTTTAAGATTCCCTCTGCATCATCCATTCCATCCCAGAAGAGGGAGAAAAAAGATGTTATAAAATTTGAATAACTTATTTTAGATTGAACATTTAAACAACACATAACTTGCCACCAAAATTGAACTGTTTAAGGGAAAAAATGAATTTGTTTTTAGTGGTAGTTACATGCTTCTTGTTTTTGAAATAATTTGTAACAAAATGAAACCTCCTTTACTTGATAGTCATAAATGTCATTTGAAGAAATGGGTTGTGGTTAGTTGATAAATCCTAGAGAATCTAGGTGGTTTTAGAAGTTTTATTTGGTTTTTTTATTGCAGCTAGTTGTCAGTGAGGTTGGACTTCTGGTGAAATAACTCAGGTTTAACTAGCTGTGTGCCAGGAATTACTTTTATTTGATGTGTGAAGCCTTTCCTTGTATCCATTACTTTTAAAGAATGTTGAACTCATTGACTGTTTTCATACAAACATACAAAGATCTGAAACTTGGAACAGAAGATCTTTGGGCCTACTAAGTAGGACATAGGACCAAGACTACAGTTAAAACTATTTATTGGCTTGTATTTCATTGACATTTAGTTTTAACATGACCAGCAAAATATGCAAGGTTACCTTCAGCAGTTACTTCATATCTTAGATTGGTGCCACTCTGTGAAACCAGTGAACGCTGACAGGAGCTCTTGTCTTGAAAATCAGTATTAGATAAACGCCAACAAGAAACCACTGTCACATTTGGTGGCTGACTTGGGCAGGAGTACCTAATGTGCAACCTTTGTCCTCATCTATTTTCCCCCAACACACACACATTGGTGAAACATTTTTATTTAGATATTTTAGGCAGCACTTACGATTACTAATTTCTGAGAACTACCCTTCAATAAAACAAAAGGGGCAGGGGTGGGAGTCCAGGCTACTTTGTTCAACCTTTTTCACAAATGAGCCCAGAAAAGGTGAAATGTTTTGTTATAAAACTGTGTTAGGCATGACCTAAGTATTAGGTGTATGATCTGTATAGTATGTTCCATCAAAAATATTTATTATTAGTGCTTTAAGCTCCAGAGTAAACATTCATTCAAAATGGAGTTCACTGGGCAGATTTCCCCTTTAATATAGATAGAGATATTCTTTATCAGAGATTTAGGACACAGTTTTGCTAACTGGTAAAAACAAATGTAAATATGTAAGAATGTTTATTTGTTGCACATAACTTTTTTGGTATAAAATAAATGTAGAAGTTACCTGTGGAAGTTGTGCTGCCATCATTCTTATTCTACAGTTTTACATTTCAAAAAAGAGGACCTCATTTCTGCAAGTATACTGACTTGATTCCTTTTATCTTTAGTTTTATGTAACGTGTGGAAGACACAAGCAGAATCCATAGAGATTCTAGTTCTTAGAACTGGTGTGAGTTTGAGGATGTCAAGAATTAATGAAAAAGGTGTTACTGCTCACAGGATTGGAAGCACACAGAATGTATATAAATCAGCTGTTTTTCCCATACAGTCTTTGAAAAAGGTAATATATTCAAGAAAGATGAATCCATTTGAAATATTTAATTGCATAGAACAAAAAAATGTGTTCTGTGCTAGAACCTTAAGATTTAAGAAATGAAACTTATCCCTAAGTTTTAAAACATTGTATTTTCTTTGTCAAGTAAAGACTTCTCAGTATTATTCCTTGACATTAAACTGCAACACAGAACTTAATTTGAGAACCTTGAACCGTCTCTTAAAGTTTAGTGGTAACAAAAGAAATATGGAACCACTACAAATCTTAATCGACTATTTGAATTGAGTGCGTTTTTATTTGGTCCAAAAAATGCCCAATAAAATTAGGTTAAATTATCAGTTCATGGATTTTGGAGAGGAAGCGTAAAAGGCATGTGTACACATGATATCAACCACAAGTGAAATGAATCAAGTTCTATGTGAAAAACTATTGGTTCATGGTCTTCCATTTGAGTGGACACCAAAAGAAATATTTTTCCAAAGCATTCAGCCTTAAATCAGCATTAATGAATACTGAGGTCTTGGGAATCATGTAGCTTAGTTACTTCAATGGAGCCTGTTGAAGATGAAAGATTCTGTAAGAAAAGACCATCCTTTGGGAGCAGAGTTCAGGTACAAAGGCCTGAAGCACTTGTCTGCCAGGACAGCTTAAAGAGGTATCAAGTTGAATGGAGTCAGCTGTGACAGGGCCAGTAGGCTTTCTGCTCACCTGTTCATTCCTGTCAAGACTAGTCTTCAGCTATAGTTGGGACAGTGTCCTAGAGGAATGTAACCTAAGATCCCTCACAATGCAGACACTCCTTCACTCTTAATGATTGTTACTACTTATTTGTCAGCTATGTGGAAACTGATAGAAAGACCCTGCTGACTATTCTGGCACAGTATCAGGTATCACTTTCTTTAAATTTGTCCTGACTTCTGCTCATCTGTGGAGTTTAACAGCAGTTGTCTTTTACTCACTCAGAAAAGGTTGGCCTGGTTTGGATGTGACCACGATGGCCCTAGAGCTGTAGAGCTACTCCTCTGGGTGCACATGGTCTGTGAGCAGCAACTCTGCGTGTGATGTGAGTATTGAAACACGATTCGCGAGTCCTTGTGCAGGTAAGACTATGAAAACAGCCAATACAAAAATAATCACAGATGCTTTTCAAGAATACCGATCAATCAATCAATGGATGGTCACTTTTAAATCAACTCTTTATTTCCATACTACAAATGCTATTATTTTCACCTCAGTGTTACCGTTCTGCCAGAAGATTACAAAGTCCAGACCAGAAACTTTCTGGTCTGCCACACACAATCCAGGAAGCACTTGCTTTGTTTGCTGTGGAATCACCCCTTACTTGGGAAGGATGGGGAAGTAGTCTCTATCCAGTACAGATGGTTTTTGCTCTAAAATGTAAACGGGTTAAAAAAAATTAAAAATTAAAAAAATTAAATGTAAACGGGTTGTTTTCCAAACACCGTGACTTGGCAGCTGACTGGTGGTACCTGGTTTCATTGGCAAGTTTCCAGTATCTCTCTCGCAAAAGGAATGCTGCACTTTTCGGTTGTCTCTGACGAGTGAAGATTCCCTTTTTATTCCCCAATACTCTTGTTGGTGCTAGAAACAAGGCAAAAGTGTTTCAGATGACTTCTGGTGGGCCAAAATGGAACCAACCTGGAGCCAAGCTGGGCACTAAATAGAAATGTCTTATACAGTTTAGGCTTACTTGGGTGTATGAAGTGAGCACTTAATGGGTTAAAATACTATCACTCCCCAGAACACCTCAGCTCCCCAGTGTGTACATTTTTTGAATGGTAGAGGGAAAAAAGTCCAAAACTTTTACTTGTAAAATAAGGTTTAAAACATAGTGACCCCGGAAAGGCTTCATCTTTCTGAAGAGACGACCCTCTTGTTGGAAACTAGAGTCCCTCCAGTCATAGGTGCCCAGTGAGATCTACTCTACCCTCCTGGTAGAGTCCCAGCAGGGTCCCCACCACTGCTGCCTGGTCTGCCAGACGCTGCAGCCAGGAGTGAGCAAAGCTGGCACGGCTGTGAGGGCTGCTCTCAGAGTACATTCTCTCTCCCCCTAGAGAAACCATGGATGCTGCTCATGGAAAGCAGATCTTTTCTACCAAGAAGTTCAAGGCAATGGTAATTTTGTTTTTTAAGATTTATTTATTTATGCATATAAGAACTGGGGTATAAGCCAGAGGTGCGAAGGATGAGAGGATTCACCAGAGACAGAGTGGGGAGCAGAAGAGGCAGATTTTTTTTTTTTTTTAAAAGATACATCTTTATTTATTTATACAAGCACTGGGTACAGTCAGAAGCGCGGGAGGGCGAGAGAATTCACCAGAGCCAGAGCGGGGAGCAGAACAGGCAGACTGACGAAGTACACTGCTGAGGGGAGCAGCGGGCGGCAGGAGAGGTCTGCGCGCCATGTGGGACCCTCCTCCGGTGGCTGGGAAGCAGCCGGGGATCGAACCGGCGCTGCAGAGGCTGCAGGCAACTACGCAACCCAGCGCTCAACCGCTGTGCCACCGGGGAGGCCCAGAAGAGGCAGATTGACTTAAATATACTGCTGAGGGGAGCAGCAGGCAAGACAGAAAGGTATGCTGCCCCTTGTGGGTAGCTGGCTGGGGATTGAACTTGTGCTGCAGAGGCTGCGGAGGGCTTCACAGTGCTGTGCTTAATCCCTTGTGCCACCAGGGAGGCCCCGACAATGGTAATTTTTTCCTCAATAAGTAAATGCCAGTCCCTGGGACAACCACTTCATTTGTACAATCCCTACCTCAGGGCCTCCCTGGTGGAGCAGCAGGTTGAGCGCAGCACTGTGGAGATGTCCGTGCAGCCCCTGCAGCGCAGGTTTGAATCCTGGTCGGCCAGGGATATACTCACATGGCATGGCAGACCTCTCCTGTCTCACCCGCTGCTCCCCTCAGTCTGCCTGTTCTGTTCCCCACTCTGTCTCTGGTGAATCCTCTCACCCTCCTGTGCCTCTGGCCTGTACCCCAGTTCTTATATAAATAAATCTTTAAAAAAAAAAAGAATCCCTACCTCAACCTGCAAGGTGATAAGCAACAGCCATCCCCGCTTCACAGGTTTATGAAAAGGGTAGGTGATTTGTTCAAGGTCACTCAGCTAATTTCTTATTACACAAAGCCAGTACCTATTCACAAATATCAGGGTGAATTTCAGAATCCAGACACCTTTAATCTAAATTGCCTAGCAGAGTAAAAGCTCATGTTCTCATTCTTTTCTCTTTACCTCTTTCCATTCTAGTTTTTTTTTTTTTTAATATTTATTTATTTATTTATACAAGACTGGGTACAGTCAGAAGAACAGGAGGGTGAGAGAATTCACCAGAGCCAGAGCGGGGAGCAGAACAGGCAGACTGATGAAGTACACTGCTTAGGGGAGCAGCGGGCGGCAGGAGAGGTCTGCGTGCCATGTGGGACCCTCGCCTGTGGCGGGGATTGAACCAGTGCTGCAGAGGCTGCGGGCAGCTTCGCAGCCCAGCGCTCAACTGCTGCGCCACCGGGGAGGCCCCCATTCTAGTTTTTAATTAAACCTGTCTTTGTAATGTAATTCCCACTAACTACCAAATCCTTCCCAAGTTGCTATCCTAAATTCATGGTATATCAAAACTCTAGTAATCTTGAGGTGCAGGGGCAAAGGGGAAATATTTCATTTGGAACTGAAGTAGCCTCATCTATCTCAGCTTGAGAAAGACTGCAGGTCATATTCACTTTGAGACTGTGAAACACACGTTCAAAACACTTTGAAACTTAACTGTCTTTAGTGAATCTGCCTTTTGCAAGTGAATAATATTAAAAGACTACGTTTTTCATGCTTTGTATCCTCTTCTGGAATAACGAATACATCCCACAAATAACCCAATACGAGGTCCACTTTTTCCTCATACTGTGGTGAAACAGACACAGGCAAGTTAGCCATTTCTGCCTCAAGACAGTCTCTCCCATTTATTTTTAAACCATAAAATAGGGCCTCCCTGGTGGCCTAGGGGTTAAGTCTCAGCACTATCACCGCTACGACCTGAGTTTGATACCTGGCCAGGGAGCTGACACATATAAGGTGCAGCAGATCTCTCCTGTCTCACCCGCTGCTCCCCTCAGCAGTGAATTTCAGTAAAATCTGCCTGTTCTGCTCCCCACTCGGTCTCTGGTGAGTCCTTTCACCCCACCCCCACACCTCTGGCCTACACCCCAGTTCTTCTACACCAAAAAAATAAAGAAAACCAATTCGGGAATCAGGCAGTTTCGATTGTTGTTTGCTAAATGCAATTTATTGTAAGAAATTAGGTAGCATTGATTGAATCAACTTCCCACCTCCCACCCCCATCTTATATCCAGTATTCTTACAAGCAAATCTCCAGAAATGAAAAGCCAATCTTAAAATATCAAATAGCAGAAATTAGTTAGATTTCAAAAACCACTGCTATTTACCTTGGTCAGTCATAAAATCAGCAAAATTCCAGATGAGCTCTCCAACCACATATTCTTTACGCTTTTGATCCAGAACCAAATGATACTGTTGTAGCATATTTTTCTGATACTCTTCACTGAACATCAGAGATGGATCCTGGAATTCAAGGCAAAAAGAGAGTTAATAGTCAGAACTGTCAGAATTGTAAAAGTTAGATAAAAACAAAAGATCCACATGATGATGACCAAAATATCTGTCTTCGGTCGGCAGCAGTGACTGGGACTTGTTGGTGCTGGTACAAGCACACAGCCAGGATATGAGTTTACTCTTCATCTCTCCTCACTAGACCAGTCTTAAAGTTGAACTACACTGGAAACAAAATTGCATCTTTGGGCTTAAGTCGGAGATGTTTAAGCAGATGTAGGAGTTCAGCTATTTTAGGAGAGAACAAAACCCTGTTGGCTCTGGCTTTCTTTTCCAACAAGAAGGACTAAAATCCTATATAATAGGATGCACTGAAAATATATTCTATTTCTAAAGGTGCAGTTGACTGCAGGGCAAGATATAGATTTCCTTTGTTTTAATGGAAGTGAGCCTGCTTGATCTAATCCTAGCCACAAGTGGCTATTTCAACTTAAACCTAAATTAAACTTAATCAAGTCAGTCACAGGCCTACTAGTAACAATTCCAGTCCCCAATATCCCATGTAGCTAGTGCCTACCATTGTGGATATAGGCATACCTCATTTTATTGTGCTTTACTTTGTTGAGCTGTACATAGATTTGATTTTTACAAATTGAAGATTTATAGCAAAAAGCTCACAACTTGTGAAAGTTCAGATGACAGTATTCTTTAGCAATGAAGTACTTTTTAAAATTAAGGTATATATATATATATATTTAGGCAATGCTATTACATATTCAATAGACTACAGTATAGTGTAAACATAACTTTCGTATACACTGGGAAACCGAAACATTCACGTGACCCACTTCATTGCAACATTCATTTTATGGCGGTGATGTGGAACAGAACCTGCAATAACTCAGAGATGGGCTTATACAAAACATTTCCATCCCTTCGAAAGGTTTTATGACTGACCAGGACTCAGCATTTCTGAAAAATTCAGTTGGTTACCTTTTCAAAGAGGGAGAACAATTTTGCATCTACATTGTCTTCATATTTCCCCCATTTTACCTTTTTACAGAAGTAGGTAGCTACTCAGCATACCAAGGATAAGCATATTAAGTGTGTCCACTGGGAATCCCAGTAGTGACAGGTGTGAAGTGGTTGGAGTGGGATAAGAGGCTGTGCTTCAAGAATCCGCATGACAAAATCCCCACAAGACAAAGAAGCATATCTTTGGCGAGGAAATGAACAAAGCAGTGAGGAAAAAGCTAATGATTAAACCTTGCTCCAAGATTTCACCCATTTCCAATACAAATATTTAGTGCCTGCTGTGTGCTCGGGAGCAACAATAAATAATAGGCTTCAGTCTCTTGTGTGAAGCCCATGGTGTGATTAAGGAGAAAGTCCCCAGTGAGAAATGCCGCGATGGACACCGAGCAGAGGAGTTTACTCCACCTGCAGCAAGTGAGGTAAACTGAACAGGGACATGAACACAGAATAAGAGTCCATTTAGTTGATGACTATAGTGAGATCTGGGCAGAACAGCCCAAGCCAGAGTAGGAAGAGCCAATGAGCAGCGTGAAGAGTACATTGTCCAGGAGTGAAGGCAGATGGCAAGGATCTAGGAAAGGAGTGAGAGCAAAGGAGAGCAACTGCCCTCATAGCCAGGAGAAGCAATGACAAAACTCCCTGGGTTTAGACTGTTTAGAAGACCATGTAAGCAGCTAGTGGGAGACTGCTCTGGGGACCACACAAGAAAGGCAGGGGCCTGAGACATGGGCAGTTTCAAGTGCAAGGGCAGGCCATGATCAGTACAAGAGGGACGGGGAAGGCCATTTCTAACTCAGGCCGATGAGTAACATCACTGTCCAAGGATGAAAAACAGGCTGTTCACTCCTTACGTGGTGAAATCCTGCAATGGCGTCTGCTCCATACTCGCTCTGAATGATTGGCTTCTGATAGGTCTTATACCAGTTCTCAAACTGGGCTGTCAGTTGCAGCTGAATCACCTCTAGGTGCCCAAAGTCATGATACCAGGAGTAGTAACTGTTCACACAGATAACGTCCACATACGGTGCCTGGGACGAGAGTGGTAAAGTTTGTTCAAAAACCAGAAGAGTATATGGCCTCCCTGGTGGCACAAGGGGTTAAGACGCAACCTACGAAGCTGTCCGCAACCTTTGCAGCATCAGTTTGATCCCCAGCTGTCCAGGTAGCTACCCACTGGCACAGCAGCCCTCTCCTGTCTCGCCTGCTGCTCCCCACTCTGTCTGGTAAATCCTCTCACCCCCCACACTTCTGGCCTGTACCCCAGCTCTTACATGCATAAATAAATCAATCTTTAAAAAAAAATAAACCAGAAGGTTGTAGAATAGTCAGGACTCACACTTGTGGGGCTACTCTGGAATACAAAGTGGGAGATGCTGTCAAGAAGTGACCTGAATGGAATAAGTCTGTTAATTGTGGGCTGACATTCCCCCGGCTGCAGCTGGGCCCTGTAAGCTGATAGGCAGCGCAGACGCCCGATGAGCTAGCCTCAGTGGATGCCCAGGGCCTATCCGGATTGGATTTTATTCCCCCCTGGACAATGCTCCTCCACTGATCTCCCCTCACTTTGCCCTGAAGAACTCTTCCTAACTGAGGGACAGATGCAGTTTTTCTCCTTCCAGAGAATCTTGGTCCAACACGCCACCCATGAGCTGGTGCTGTAGGCCAGAAACTGGCTGGAAAATTCCTTCCTGAGAGGACAGTTGAGATGAAGGAGCAGGACTGTGAGTCTACAAGATGCAGAGCTCATGTCTGAGACTGGACGACCCAACTAGTATCTAATGCTACTTGAACAAATGTGTCTCCAAAACCTGCACTGGGTCTGATATGTTCTCTTTCCCAAGTGAACACAGCCCAAATTGTGGCAGGAATGTGCAGGCAGAAGTTGGGAAGGTGCCTCTGGGTGGACATAAGTTCACATCCCACCAGGTAAATCTGCAACCTTCTCAAGAAGCCAGGCAGGTGCCCACACAAAGGCTTCTCTGACCACACAAGAAGACTAAAACAGTCAGTTCCCAAGAATGTTGAGGTCAGCCTTGTGCCACACTAGTGCTTAAGCACAGCCTTAATGGTTCTTTGAAGGGGCATTCTTGAGAGATGGCAAGAAGATACAAATTCTTTTCTTCTTTCAGGCTAAAATAAGGGTTCACAATTTACATCTGTACACAGTGTTTTCTCATCCATCCTTCCCTTGGATAATTTCTCTTTCTGTAGCACTTTCCTTTGAAGCCCTGGCCTTCAAGTCTCTAGCAAAGAAGCATTTTTTATTTCCTGTCCCTTAAAGCTTCAGTGCCACTGGGTCGTTTCCAGGAGCTGTTGTGGCCAGAACAGTGAGGGAGGCTCTGTGGTCCAGCCGGCTGGGTGAGCCTGTCCCTTCCATTCTCAACAGCGGGCGCTGGCTCTGTCAATGGTTGCCAAAGCCAGTTCCTGGTGGAATCACTAAAGATTTTTTAAAAACTTATGTTCCCACCCTAAATTTACTAAATCAGAATCCAGAGAGCTGCACTTTCAAAAAGCTTCCCTTAGTGATTGTGAGAATCAGCCAGGTTTAAGGAACACTGGACCAAGGCACCTATGAGCTCCCTTAAACTGCTGCCATTTTATGAGGATGTTAAATTGAAGTGCATAAAAATTTGAGTCTGAACTCAGAATGAATGAAATCTTTCCCTTCCCAGCCTCCTCAGATTTAGGAAGCCATGGTGCCCAGTGGATAGAGAGTTCTTCCCAGCAGTTCATTTGAGCAAGCATCAGGGCAGGACTAGAGGTCAGACAGAAGTGGTACGGAGACCCCCAGGCTCACCCCCAGGTCTGCTTCATAGTTGGAGTTGGTCACAAAGGTCACAGGCCGGGAGGGGTCCAAGGCTTTGGTATGGGCAATCAGCGTCCTGTCCATGGAGGGCAGAAGACACAGGTGCCATCAGTCCAGGCAGGCCTCTCAGATACCCAGCTCACCTCCTCCCTTCCCCCATCGCCACCAAGACAAAGACACTGATCTCTGCCCTACCTCGAAGTGCATTTCAGGGAAGTAACCATGTTCCTCTAGTCCTTAGGGCATGTCCCCTGATGTCATTCTTTCTCCCTCCCAAAGTCCTACCCCCAGGGGAGAGGTCACCATGCAGGGGCCAGAAGACCCAGGGATGAGGTCCTAGGCAGTGCCAAAAACTACGCTTGGAAGCTCTGAAAAAACTTGAAAACAGGAATGGATGGGGTGTGAATGAGGATGGAATATTAATTTAACAAACAGTTAGGGAATGTGCCCTGTACCGGACACTCGCTAGAGACATGAACAGCTACATACAGAGCTTCATGGGTAAATGTTACTAACTGCAGTGAGAGGAGACAGGAGGATTGTAAGGGGTGAACACAGGCTCTATATCAGCATATAATTGAGACAGGAGAGTCAGCGACAGACTCTGAAGAAATGGCATTTATCCTGAATGGTGCTAACCAAGGAGGGCAGGTGAAAAGAGGCTTTTGACAGCGGGACCAGTCTGTGGGCAGGCCTTCCTAGCAATCACTGGGTCATTCCCTTCACTTTCCTCACAGCACCTTTTCTCTCCCTTCACACACTCTTGCCATCTCTTCTCGTCGAAGGCTGTGGTTTCTACATATCAGACCAGTGACCCTCACCCTCAAGCCCCAAACCCATACTCTCAAACAACCTGCTGGTCAGCTGAAGCTCCCATACCCAGCTGAGCATCTCCAGTCTGGGCAGCTCTAGCCATACCCTGCCCCATCCCTGCCGCCCTAAAAATCATGCATCTCCCTCTCTTTCCCCCCAAAGCTCATCTGAAATCCCAGGCATCAATTCCTGAACCTGTACTCCTTACGCCCTCACAGCAGAAATTCTGTCCATCTGCCCCAGTTCCATATTCCCACCCCACAGGCTCTGGGGTTGTACTGGGAGGTGGCCTTTGCGGGATTGGTGGCGGGGGCACTCCTCAGAGCAGAAATGGCTCAGCTCAAAGCATTCCACGAACTGGGATGTGCTGTATGACCAAGGAGGCATTTCCATAGCCTCTCCTGACTCTACAGTATGTGAAATAATTCCCCTCTGCAGCCTCCTTACCACTGTCCAATTGTGAGAGAGGGAGCCAAGGAACACCCCAGGTGGCCAGCCTCCCTCAGAAATAGTAAACCTCCTCATATGGGGAGACGCCCCTATTTTTAAGTAGTGTTTCATTGCTGTTCCCTGGGAGGCAGAGGTAGGGGGCGGTACTGGCATTTAGTGAATGGGATCATGAACTTTAGACAGCCTGGTCCTGTCCAACAACATCGAAACTTTAGAACAACGTATGCATGCCATTGAAAAAGCTGTTTATGTTGCACAATTAGCTGATTTTATAAAGTGTAACCCAAACCTGAAGCACCAGTGGTTTTTTGCAGTTTTAACACAAGCCAAATCTCTCAGGAATGGTGAAACCATAAAAAGTGAGGGAAACTCATACTTGGTTTTGTTTGCAGCTTCATCTAGAGGGGTTCAGTTTAGAAATGTGCGCAGGAATGCACAGCACGGGAGGAAAGGGCGCCCACGCAAGCCAAGGTGCAGTCCCCCATCAGCTCTTGGGATCTGCTCTCAGGGCGAGTCCACTTCTAGCTGCAGGTCTGACCCTTCGCTGGGCCTTCTAGAGTCAGGCCTATGCATTCGTGTGAAATGACTTTCTTTTATATCACAGGCCTATCATGATTTGTTAAAAATTTGAAGTTGGTATGAAAAGCTTAGGTTAATTCTGGATTTAATTTCAGGTATGAAGGGGAGACACTGGTGCTCGCTGGTTGCAATCAGTTTGATTAGGGAGGTGTTCTGTCCCCTGAACTCACCAGGTATGGTGCCCCCTCGGTCTGGGCTGGGAGGGATGGTGACCATAACACAGGCCCACCCCAGGACTGACCTCCACACTCCCAGCCAAGGCCTACCCAGGCTGGAGGGCTGAGGTCCCATTCGTGATCCACTCTGGGGGAGGCAGGGACACTCACTTGAAGTATTCACCAGCAGGTGGCAGGTAGGAAGTGGGCTCATTGGCCACTGACCACATCACAACGGCTGGGTGATTCTTGTCCCTGCGCACCAGCTCCTCCATCACCTCCAGGTGGTGTTGCAGGGACACGTTGCTGTAGCTCTGGCTGCAGGGCAGGGGGAAAGACAGAGGGAGGAAAGAGGAATCCATCAGGACCCGCCAAGCAGTGCAGACTGGGCACTATGGGCGCTGGGCACTCACAGCAGCACAATGCCCACACCAGGGCTCTCGTCAATGACCACAATCCCATAGCGGTCGCAGAGCTGCATCACCTCCTCCGCGTAGGGGTAGTGGCTGGTGCGGAAGGCGTTGGCCCCAAGCCAGCGCAGCAGGTTGAAGTCCTTCATCAGCAGTGGCCAGTCAAAGCCCTTCCCTCGGATCTAGGAGGCAGCAGAGCAAAGTGGCCCCCACCCCCGTCCCCCTCGGAGATGCACTTCTAGAGTCAGACCTCTCAAGTCTCCCCATTAGACTTCTACCAGCCCAATACAGGCCCTAGCAGACAATTTGTTTAACTGCTCTACTCTACCCTCAACTGTTTCAGGGGGCATGGGGAAGATGAAAATGAGAAAGCGCCCCCAAGGGACCCAGCAGCCCCAACTCACGTCTGCATCCTCATGCTTGTTGACCCCATGGAAATAGAAGGGCTTTCCATTGATGAGGAACTGGCTCTCTGTGACAGCCACAGTGCGAATCCCCACAGGGAGAGTGTAGAAGTCAGACACAGGCCCAGCGGCCGTCTGTGCTGTCAGCTTCACCTAGGAACACCAAGCACCAGGTGGGAGGCATCCCTGGCTGGGGCCCCACACCTATCCCCCCTGAAGCAGGAAGGCCCCTCATAAACCACAGCAGCCCACCCACTGCAAGAGGGAGATGCAAAAATCACAGGCTTCTGCCTTTTGCCCACCCTGACCTCTGGCCACGCTCTTCAAAACTGGGCCTCTCCACCAAGGGCTGAGAAAAATCAGGCCGGGAACACATCACTTCAATGGACTAGGAAGCTCAGAGGATGATGCCTCCCTGTCCTCCTGTCCAATGCCCCTGCTGAAGCCAGGGCCGCTGGCTGGGGGCAGAGGGCCTCCAGGAGCCCCAGAACTAACCACCATTACCTCCAATGAGTACAGGTAGGCAGGGTGCTCATGCATCAGGTATGGCCACCAGAGGTGGGCACTCGGCACCTGCAGCTGGCCCCGTCCTCCCGTCCCCTGGGCCACGACTTTGCCTTCCTCATCCAGAAGACACACTTCTAGTTGGAAATGTTCACTGCCCTGGACAGAAATCTGGTAGTTCACTAACGCTGCAGGAGACAAAAGAGATCAGACGAGAGAGGAAAGTGACCTGAGGTGTACAGATGAGAGCTGCAGCACAGCAGGGAAGGGGCATGGAGTCTTGTGACTCCTGAGCTATTCAGCCTGAGTTACGTGATTAAGGTAAGCACGCTCCATCTGTCATCAGATCTCATTTCCTCACAAAATACGGGTATATCCAGATGGGCTGGATTTAGCTTCTTAGGTGCATAGGACCTTGTGACGGTTAAGAAATGCTGGGAAAGCCTTTTTGCCAGGGTATCTTTCCTCACAGGAAACTAGGCCACTTTGGATCTGGCTGAGGGCAGCTCCTGCCCAGAGCCCTTACCAATGTCTTGGTCCACATCAGTGTTGACAGTGATGTCATCAATGTAAGTGGTGGGTGTGGTGTAGAGGAGCACAGGCCGATGCAGTCCCGCATAATTGAAGAAGTCAAAGTTTGTGTTCTGGACAAAGTAACCTTTAGGATACCTAGGGTGGGAGGACAACAGCCAACTGGGACCTTGCCCTGGGTGCTTCAGCCTCAGCTCATGCCTGCTGCGCCTCACCTTTGCCAAGGCAGCCCTACCCCTAATGGGAAGACCACTGGGAGAGGCGAGGGGAAGCAGGGTGCTGCTCACTTTGCTTTATCGTTCTTGTAGAGGATCGTCCCTGGCGGCAGGGTATGAGGGGTGAGTGTGTTGTTGATGGCGATGGTAATGCGGCAGGAGGACAGGGGCCCACTCTGGACCAGCTTGCTGATGTCAGCCTCAAAGGGTAGATGGCCCCCCGTGCTCTGCCACATGAACCCCATTCACCCACTGCAGACACAGGGAGGGAACAGCAGGCCAGAGCATGTGGAGGGGACGCTGCCATCTCAGGCACTCCCTCACACAGAAGTACAGTATGTGGGGGCTGAGGGCCTGCCAGTGGCCTCACCAGAGAGGAGTGACAGCCGGCAGTCAGGCACCCAGGGCAGCCTCCCTCCTGCTCAGCTGCCACACCTGCCCACCAGCCCTGCCCACTGTCCCCTGCACTGACCACAATGGCATGGTAGTGGGCGCTGCCAATCCTTAGCACCACTCTTGTGTCCAGGTCCTGGGTCCATCGCTGAGGCAGGGTTGCCTCCCGTTCGTACCACACCCAGCCGACAAAGCTACGCAGATACCTGTCTTGGCCCACGTCATTGAAGCTGGAGGGAACAGGCATATCCAGTGTGGGGCCAGACTGTGGACAAAGGGCCAGCATCAGGTCCAGATCTCCTAGGCATCTAGGACTCAGGCCCAGGAGCTACTTTCCCAGAGACCAGTCCCCCTGTAACCCTGACTACAGGAAGGCTGAACAAGGTGACTTCTCCCAGACCCTGGGATTCCAGGTCACCCCACCATGACTGCTCTCTGCCAGCATCTGATCAATGTCTTTTAAGGAGTTCGTTTAATTCTCACAACTCCTAGAAGTACACACCTGTCATTCACTCATTCAAAAGCAAAAGTGTTTTAGGTGCTAGTAGGAAAAGAGTGAACAGGCCAGGTGATGGGCACTTTTTGGAAAAAAGCTTGAGAGGGATGGGGAGTGGCAGGGGACTGATTACCTTAGGAGTCAGGGCAGGCTTTTTGGAGCCAGTACCAGAGGGATACTGCCTCAGGACACCCTGGCAGAACTGAGTGTACCTGAGCCCCTCAGAGAATCCCTTGGACCTCTAGCCTCTTGAAGCAGTCAGGTGGAAGGCAAGGCAGTGAGCCTCCAAGCAGCCTGGGGATGATCCCCTGAATGTGGGACATGTGGACCGCCCTCCCCCCAGATGATCAGCTGCCGCCGATTTCAGGAAGGCTGGCAGGGGCTGCTCTTTTTATTATTATTATTATTATTATTATTATTATTATTTTTAAAGATTTATTTATGCATACAAGAGCTGGGGTACAGGCCAGAGAAAACTGACGAGTGGGCACGCCTCGCAACCGGGCCCCTCACTTCCCCGTGAACCCTGCGCGGGATCTGGGAGGGGGAGAGGCCAGAGGGACTCACAGATGTGCCTCAGGCCCTCTTCTCGGTGGACTGGCCAAAATTAGAGGGCAGACCTGGAGTGGAGCCGCCGGCTGGCTGGGTGCCAAGCTCGGTCCTCCAGCTGAGCTTCGCAACCCAAAGTCTTCCCTGCCAGGCTGAGCTGGCCCCGAACGTCCAGAGCTACACACACCCACCCCGCCGCGCGCGGCCGCAGACGCAGCCCAGGCTGTCTCCCCGCGCGGGTGGGGTGCAGCTGGGGCGGCGGCCCTGCGCTCACCGGGGTGCCGGTCCCCGCTCCCCGCCCATTTCCTGCGCCCGCTTTCCCGGTCGGCCAACCACAGCCCCGCGCCGGTTCCCTTTAACCACCGCCAGGCCGGCAGCCCGAGGACGCTGGGGAAGGCTCCCCGCTCGCGCCGCGCGGCCTCCAGGGGCTCCCGCCAGGCCCGGCGCCCCCTCCCCGGAGGCCGCACCTCCCGCAGCGGCGCCCGGTACCACTGCTGCTCGAAGCCCTGGCGCCGGGTGTCCGAGAAGTCGGCGCGAAAGCGCCACAGGCCGTCGAGGTCCTTGCGCTCCCGCGACGGGCTCTCCCGGGGGTACAGCATGCCGCCCCGCAGCGCCAGCCCGCAGCCCCACAGCAGGGGCCCGAGCGCGGCCCAGAGCCCCGCCGGCCGCCGCAGCATGGTTCCCGCGGGCGGCTCGCGCGCGTGCAGGGCGCAGGCTGGCCGGGCGCCGCCGCAGCCGGGGAGGACGGGCGGGGGCGGGGCGGGGCGGGGCGGGGCGGGGCGGGGCCAGGTCACGTGCTCGCCTGACGTCCCCCGCCGCGCGGTTTCAAGCAGAGCCAGGCCTGGGCGCCTTCGTGTCCTGCGCTCTCTGCCTGCCCGCCCGCCCTCCCGCCCGCGGTAAGGCGGCCGACGGTCGCTCAGCAGTAGCAGGGGCGCGACCCTCAGCTCCCACCCCGCGCACCCTCTGCCTTCCCCGCCCCAGACCCTGGTCTGAGGAGACTGGGCCGGGTTCCCATTTTTCAAAGAGGGGGGCCTGGGACGTGTCCTACGTGAGGCCTCTACCTTGTCACGCCTCATAACCCTTGGCCAAGCCCTGCTGTTGACTGACCCCCCACAGGGCGGACTCCCTTTTGGCCTTCCTGGAACAGGAAGAAGGGAGGAGAGGGGGCTTGTGGTCCCAGTAATCTTATACCGGACACTCGCCATCTTGCAACAGAAAACACCCCCAGACTAAAAATTAGGAATAACTGGGATTAAACTCTAATCACTGAATTGCATTTCCTCTTACATTGCATTTCCTCTCTATGATTAACATAGTCACAAACGGGGTAATGTTGACCCTAAATTACCCACTAACCTCAAGAAAATATCCTTGTAATGAGATACACTGTGAAACACCACGGTAGTCTGAAATCTGAGGTGAAAACTTAGTTACCTCAGAAAAGTCCGTGCACAGCAATATTGCACAAAACAATCTCCTTTCAGAGATGTAAAAAAAACCCAAACCCCTTATAAGGTCAGTTTTGCTCAGAAACCTCTCCCAGGGATGTCTAATGTAGTGAAATTCAAGTTGCCCTTCTGAGAGAGAAACCAAGTCCATCAATGAAGGTTTTCTCTCAGCTAGTTCAGTCAACCTACCTGGGCCCAGTGCAGGCCTGCATGTCTCCCCATTCATCACTTGGGTTTGTGTCTGGTTCAAAGAGAAATTCCATTTATCTTGACTAGATCTTTTTGGGTCTCTTCTTGGGTCTTCGGTTATCATTATTGTATACTTGGAGCCTGGACTCACTATGCGATTTGACTGTGAATCTGTTTTAGACTACTTTTCAGTGATATCCCCTACCCCTCATGCATTTCTAACCATACACCTGCTCCTTGGGCCCACAAATACCTTCCCAGTGTTGTTGTGGATGCCATAGCTTTCTTTCTCTTGTTCTCCAGATCATCTCTCCAACTTGGCTCAGATGCCAGCTTTGATTTCTTCAGTCAGAAGGCACCTATCCTTCCTGCTACGGTAGGTGTCACTGCTTGTGTAGTCAGGGGTCTGACACAGAGTTCTGGATGTCTGGCCTTAACCTAATTGGGACTCATCTTTCTCATTGTTCTAAGACCAGAATGATGTCTTAGAGGCCCTTAGGGGCCCTGCCCCCCACATGAGAGCATTATCATTTGGGTAAAGGTAACTTGGGGCATATGAGGGTGGCCTTTGGATTCCTACTACTTGAGGGCAATAATAACAGCATTCCTCCTGTGCAGACCCTAGTCCGCTAAGGAATTCTTAAGCTCTGAAAAACTGTAAAATGAGTTCATCTTTTTGTGTACAGACAAGGAAATTGAGGCTGAGAGAGGTGAAGTGACTTGCTCAAGGTAACACCCCCAAAGCAACAGTAACCATTGTTGCCATATTCACCCTTCTCCTTCCCCAGTATTCTGCATCCAGAGAACTTCTGATATTAAGGACAGAAAAATAACATGTGCTCCTCCTGGTGGTGGAGTGCAGCAATGCACAGATGTGAGGGCCCAAGATTGCTTGTAACAAGCAAGTCACAGGACACTCAGCTGATCAGAGGGCAAGTTTGACACTTCCTTCATAATGCTTTTAATAGATAAATTTATTGCATTTTTGAAATATCACAATTTGATATTGAGAATTATTAGACATCTTGTTTCCATCACTGAACAACAAATAGATGTTATTCATTAGTCTGCTAATCACTTTCTTGTTCAGAGAGGCAGGTAATATAAAAAGTTTTCTGATATCTTTGAGTTTAACTCTTGTGACCGGCTGTATTGAAGCAGTTGGATTTGATGCCAATAACTTTATGAGCTTGAAATATTGAACAAACAATACCTACACTCATTTTAACCCTACAGGTAGATTTTTTTTATTCAAGAAATTCAAATGTCAACAAGAGACCCACTCTCCTAAATAATGGCACAGATGGGGAAGTGAGCATACACATCCTCATCTTGCTATGGAAAATCAGTGGAACACCCTTGATCATATGCCGTATTTGGCAACAGATTGCTGTGGCCAGTTCCTTTTCTTTCTTTTTTAATGTTACTTATATTTTTTCAGGGTTCATGTTGCAATCATGAAACCAAGTGTGGGTTTTGATTCCAAATTCACATATTTAGGGAGATAAAAGCAGACTATTATACATGTATATGGATGAAAAGTAAAGGCTCATGGTTAATCACATTGTAGTTTTTCTATGATAGTCAGAAGCCTCAGTCTTTTAAGTCCTTCTGGATGTCCCACAGGGTATCTGCACTTCTCTTGATTTGAGCAACCTCATTATCTTTCAGCTTCTAATTGCTAATACTGGTTAATTCACAAGCATTCTGGGTACCTGGGAAGCTCAGGAAGATTTCATTCTCAGTGCTATATACATCCCTTTCTCCATTGTTGACATTGAATGAATCCTGGACAGATTTTTGAACATGGATTCAGTGCAATCAACTACACATAATCCAGTAGCCCAGTTGGTGTATCCTTTCAGCTAGATGAGTTATTGGCATTTGCAATCACCATGTTATCCAGTTCCTTCCAGTTTTTACTATCATTGTTTGTTCCCATTTGGGATTCAGTCCCTGGAGAGAAACATCTGCCCCATTTACTCCACTCCACACAGCCACACTTGAGTCACCATGGCAGCTCCTGGGATGAGTGTCAAGTTTTTCAGCCATAAAATAGCAAAAACCTAGCAGAGTCCAGATTAAACCCACTTGTAATCACACGGTACTTGGGTACTTGTCAATTCATTCATTCAATGTTAGTTTCTAGGTAACATATGTGAGAATATCCACTGGGATGGAAACCACATTTATGATGCAATCAGGACTGTACTTGATAATCTGAGGGACAATGAATTTGAAGACATGGACATTCTTCTGCCCCAGATTGAGACAATTTTCTCTCTCTTGCTGGCAGACTCCCATCAGTCCTACCACCACAGTCTTAGAATTGGCAATCAGAAAGTAATCTTTATCTACTAGTTTTACATGTCTGAAAAAATAAGCTCCCATGCTGGAGACCCATCATTCTCTTTTGAGTTTATCTTCTAAAAATATCCACAAGGGGCTCCCTGGTGGTGCAAGGGGTTAATCATCGCACTATGGGGCAGTCTGCAGCTTCTGCAGCGTGGGTTCCATCACCAGCCGGACAGGGAGCAACCCACATGGGGCAGCAGACCTCTTCTGTCTCACCCACTGGTCCCCTCAGCAGTGTGTTTCAGTCAGTCTGCCTGTTCTGTTCCCCACTCTGTCTCTGGTGAGTCCTCTTAACCCTCCCCACATCTGGCCTGTACCCCAGTTCTTGTATGCACAAATAAATAAATCTTTAAAAAAAAAATCAAAGCTGCCATTGTTAACCTCCCCATGGGTCTCTCACCCACATCTGTTTTGACCAGGCCAAGGCCAAGAAGCAAGCAATTTCTTCACATGTCTCTCCTCCATGTGCCTCCTTTAGGTCTCCTGGCTCTCCATCCCACCTTCCTTCTCCAGTGTCCCCTCCAGCTTCTTCTCTTCCCTGCTCAGTTCCACCCTCCTTTGGGAGGGGCCAGGGACACTGGCATCTCTCCTTTCCCTGGGACCATCCTGTTACAGGATTGGAAGAAATCTTAAAAGAAATTTCATAAAGCTCAGGATGTTAATTTAGAATTTTATCCAAAACCAAATGATGCTGTAACCTAAAGTATATCCTTTATCTTTCAGTAGTAGCCATTTCCAGCAGTTCATTACTGCTGGAAATTATTTACTACATTCATTACTACAAGTAAATTATTTTTTAATGACATAAATGGATTTCATTCTATTACATTTCCTATTGTGGTCCTCATTTGCTTGGTAAAATAAGTTTTAAAATATTCTGTTACCTATATAAGGTATATGGTGGTAACCTTTCAAACTTACAAATTTTTTTTGATTTTTAAATTTTACATCATTTTTCATTTGTGCACAATGTATGCATTTTCGTATTGTTTATAGTCCCCATACAATTCCCACCACCCTTGTTTTGAACCTATTCTCATACCTATCCCCTCCGAGTGTGTCTCTGGTTTATAGCTGCCCGTTGATTCTGATTTTTACTTTATTTTAATTAGTCTTTTTCCTGGTCCCTTATTTAGGTTTTATAAATTCCTGCTATGAGTGAGACCATCCAGTGTTTTTCTTTTTCTTTCTGGCTTCTTTCACTGAGCATGATCCCTTCCAGCTCTACCCATGTTGCTGCAAATTGCATGAGTTTATCTTTTTTGATCGCTGAGTAATATTCCATTGTGTTTATGTACCACATCTTCTTGATCCAGTCATCTATTTTTGGGCATTTGGGTTGTTTCCATAACTTAGCTATTGTAAATAGTGCTGCTATAAACATAGGGGTGCAAGTGCCCTTTTGAATTAATGTTTCTGTGTCCTTGGAGTAAATACCTAGGAGTGGAATTGCTGGATTATATGGAAGCTCCATCTTTAGCAGATTGAGGAATCTCCACACAGCTCTCCATAGTGGTTGGACCAGTTTGCACTCCCACCAGCAGTGCAGGAGAGTTCCTTTTTCTCCACATCCTTGCCAACATTTGTTGTTTCTAGTTTTTTTTAATATGTGCCATTCTCACTGGTGTGAGATGGTATCTCATGGTAGTTTTGATTTGCATTTCCCTGATTACAAGTGATGTTGACCATTTTTTCATATGCCTGTTGGCCATTTGCATTTCCTCCTTGGAGAAGTTTCTTTTTAGCTCTTCTGCCCCGTTTTTGACTGGGCTGCTTATTTTGTTTTTGTTGAGTCTCGTCAGCTCTTTGTAGATTTTTGTGATCAGTCCTTTATCATTAGTGTTGTATACAAAAATTTTCTCTTGTATGCATAAATAAATAAATCTTAAAAAAAATAAAAATTGGAACAAAGCATACATTTTTAAAAATTATTTTTATTGAGTAACATTGGTTTACACCATATGTTTTAGGGGTATAGCTTCACAATTTTTCAATTGTATGTTATACCATGCACACCACCAAAGCACCTGTACTCCTCCAGTGTAGCCCACTGGGTCCCCTTCCCTTTTTGCTCTTCATCTCCACCCTTCTCTTCTGGTAGCCTTAGTCAGATTTCAAGGATTTGGTTTTGTTTGGTTTTATCTGTTCCTTTGCTTTTTTTTTTTTATATTCCACATGAGTGAAATGATCTGGTATTTGTTTTTCTCCTGAATTATTTCACTTAGCATAATTCCCTTCAGTTCCATCCAATTTCATCTCTTTTTTTTTTTAAGATTTATTTATTTATTTATACAAGAACCGGGGTACAGGCCAGATGTTCGGGAGGGTGAAAGGATTTTCCAGACAGAGCAGGGAACAGAACAGGCAGACTGACGAAATACACTGCTAAGGGGAGCAGCGGGCGCGACAGGAGATGTCTGCCTCGCCATGTGGGACCCTCGCCAGCTGGCCGGGATTGAACCAGCACTGCAGAGGCTGTGGACAGCTTCACAGCGCTGCGCTCAACTGACTGCGCCACTGGCGGAGGCCCAATTTCATCTTTTTTACAGCTGAGTAGTATTCCATTACGTTTATACCACATCTTCTTCACTCATCTGTTGGGTTATTTCTATAGCTTGGTTATTGTAAATAGTGCTTCAGTGAACATAGGAGCACATAAATATCTCTTCAGATTAGTGTTTTTTGTATTCTTCAGGTAAGTCCCTGACGATCTGGATCATGTGATAGGTCTATTTTTAATATTTTGAGAGACCTCCATACTGTTTTCCGTAGAGACTGGAGTGGTCTATAGTCCTACCAAAAATTCTGGAGTAGTCTACATTCTCACCAATAATTTAGAAGAGTTCCCAGACTTGTGTTTTATCTTGCAGAAACACTAAGAGTTTGTTCTGTAACCCGAGCTTTCTCTCAGTAACTATTGTTTTAAAATTGACATTTTAACATTAATGCATTAGCAGATATTTATAATTTATTTATTATCACATCATAAAGATAATGATCTCTAATGCTTTAACATTTACATTCTCATGATTTTTATTATAACACTGAACATGTTTAGTTGTTTTATTTTTAAAGATTTATTTATTTATGCATTCAAGAGCTAGGGTACAGGCCAGAGATGTGGGGGTGAGAGGATTCATCAGAGAAAGAGTGGGAAACAGAACAGGCAGATCCACTGAAATACACTGCTGAGGGGAGCAGCGGGTGAGTCAGGAGAGGTCTGCTGCACCACATGGGTTGCTTCCTGGCCGGCCGGGGATCGAACTCGTGCTTCAGAGGGTGCGGATTGCTTCATAGTGTGGTGCTTAACCCCTTGCGCCGCCACCAGGGAGGCCCTAAACATGTTTAGTTTTACTGATTTTTTTATATGAAGAATTTGTTGGTGACAG